TTTTTTTTTTTTTGGCTGGCTCAGGCTGCCTTAAGAGGGGGGGGGGTCTGGTAAGGCATGTGGAGCTGGGGCTCGAACCGCAGTATATTGTGCCTGACTGCGTTTGCAGGAGCAGGAGCTTAAACAACTGAGCTAACCAGTAGGCCCCCAGCGTGGCATAAAATGATTAGCTAGAAAAATTAGACACATTATGGTATTTGCTAGGAGATATAAGTATGGAAAAGTAGATAACTTTTTCTAAATTGTGTTTTGATTCTAGTACAATTGCAAAAAATTCAATAGAACTTGTATGAGAACTGATGAGATATTTGAAAGAGTGAGACCAAATAGCTAAAATAATTTTAGAAAAACTACACAGTATATGCATGTCCCAAGATTAGGATTTTCATTAGAATACTGATAAGTCCAAAATAGATTTAAGGATATGTAATGCTTTACTATGACTAAAGTAGTATATAAAAAATCAGTGAAGTCAATGCCTAATCCTCAAATAGTCTGAAAAGCACTGGCTTAACTGCTCAAGAACAAAAGGCTAGACTTTTGCATAGCTAGAAGAAATGTACAGATGTGATGCGATTACCTGTAAGAATTGAAGACTTAACAGGTGATTATCAAACTATGAAGGACTGTTGAACAAACCTCTAGGTGCATGGAGCCACGGTGGAATTCACAGACAGAAAGTTTTGTAGATATAAGTATAATCCTCAATGTTATATACCAATGATTTTGATCCAAATGTACAAGGCAAATGAAAAAGTGAGAGATGACTTCTGCAAAGAATACTATATAACCTGACCTTCAAGGTGATTAAGTCACTAACTCCAGCAGCCGGGGAGATAGTTCGGTGGTCTAAGCACCCTCCTGGCAAGCACAGTGTCTAGGGTTCGACCTTTGGTACCGCATGTCGTGCTGGCCCCGCACTGTGCCGGCCACTGAAACCAGACATGGCGGTGCACACCTGTTATCCCCGCACTGGGGAGGCTGAGACAGGAGGATCACTACGAGGCTGAGCTGCATCGAGAGACCCTGCGCCAGATAAATAAAACTTGAAGAAAAGTAAATAGTCACTAACTCCATAATAGGGAAACAAGCAAAAACAGATAAACAAAACAACTGCCCATATTATCCAGAAAGGAGCAAAAGCAAATGGCTAATAAAAACAGGAAGATTTTTACACTGTCAAAACTAAGTAATAACATAATCTAAGGAATGCCATAATATCCCCGGAGAAGTATAAATTCTTGGCCTTCGG